ACAATAGTCTATGCAGAGGCTCCAGCTGGAGAAAGAACTTGGCTGGTTGGGAAGGCCAGTATGGCTGAAGGTCAGATGAGGGGAGTGTAACTCCAAGTGAGACTGGAGAGGGAGGCGGGGCCAAGTCAGGCAAGGCCTATGACCCAATTTATTATCTTGGAAGTTAATTCAATCTAGGTGGCTCAGGGCCAGAGTGGATCACGTAGGGGACTGGTTGGGAGGCCCCTGCAGTCATCCAGGAGACAAACGATGGTGGAGATGGACAGATGTAGATGGATTCAAGAAATATTTTGGAGGAAGAAACAATAGGACTTACTGGATGATTAGATTTGGAATCACAGGTAGGGAAGATAGCACAAGAATGGCTGCCAGATGTCTAAAGTGACCAGCAAATGCTGAGTCGTGCCATTTACTGAGATGGGCAAAAATGAATAATGGGGGCATGGAGAGTGGGTATAAAGTCTTGTTTATGCAAGATGTAGAAGTTAGAGATTCTGCTGCACAACAGTCTGCCCAGAGTTAACAATACTGTGCTGTGCACTTAAAATTTTTTAAGAAGGTAGATCTCGTGTTAACTGTTCTTAGCATGGTAAAATGAATGAATGAGTGAATGGATTTTTTTAAAAGAATAGGATTTTAATATATGTTTATTTACCTACTGATGGATTCATTAACTAGCAGATTAACTGGATTTCACTTTCAAACAGGTTATACTTGAGGTGACCATGAAACATCCAAGTGAATCATGAAATAAAAAGTAGAAAAAAATAATATGAGGATGAGACCAAGGGCTAGAGGAGGCAGAGGAGGACGGAGCACATCTATCTGGCAGATTTAGGAAAAGTCTTATTAGGAAGGTGGCAGCTGAATGAGCCTTCAAGGACTCCTTGAATTTTTTTTTTGATCACTGGTTTATCGCATAGTAGCAACTCCTATACCCTGATCACTGTGATGCTGTAATGCCCTTTCCTGGTCCTGTTACAGACCCTCAGGAAAGTTTACATTTTTCCAGTTATTTCAGATATCAATCCTTGGTCCAGTTTGAATCATTCCCGTCTCAGAGAGGAGTCTCTGCTTCTACATAAATTTCAACACCTCTTTCCTGAATTATAAAGGTAGATTTCAGTTCCATAGGAAGAGTGTCCTATTGGTGCTATTCCCAAAGCTGCTCTCTGAGGCCACCATCACTGGGTGCCACTCTGTCAAAGATGCTGCCACAGGGATTCCTGCTTGGGGAAGGAGTGGAGTAAGGAGACTCTTAAATTATTTTCTTTGATTTTATTTATACTTTGGTCCCCATATTTTTTTACATTGTAAAAAAAAAAATCTTCTTGGAAGTCGGCCCTGGCTCTGCCATTTACTGTGCGACCTTAGGCAAGTTACTTAAACTCTATGGATCACAATTGGTTCATTTGTGGAATGAGCGTGATATATCCACTTTGTCGTACTGTTGCGAAGTGGAATGAGATGAAGTAGGTCGGGAGCCTGACACATGATGCTCAACAACTATCCTTCCTTTTCTATAATACTGTTTTATTAATGAATTACATAATAAATCATATAGCTGGATTCTTCCACAAAATAGGGTATGACCTGACAGCCTATCAGATCCACACATTTCCTGTCGAGAAGTTCCCTTGAATCTATTTATCAAGGTTACTTCCTGCTTAGCCACATACTCACTGGCCTTTCTCACTGGGCTGCAAGCTTCTTAACTTCTCAAGAAGGGTGTCATTCATCTTGGGGATCAACAGCAGGACTAGAGTAGAGATTCAGTTCATGTTTGTGACCGAGTAAGTGAACCCAATCTGCCTATCCCTGTAACACATACTTTCATTTTTCTAGACCCAGTGACCACACCAATGCTGAACATTCGGACAGAAACAGACCAGTATATAACACTACACTGCATCTCGCTCAATGGCTCTCTTCCCATCAATTATACTTTCTTTAAAAATGACATCGCCGTGTCACCAGTTATTTCCAAGTATGTCAGGGAGCCTGCTGAATTTAATTTAACCAAGAAGAACACTGGAAAAAAGGAAGAATACAGGTGTAAAGCTAGAAACAGATTGCCTGACCATGCAAAATACAGTCAATCCTTCACCATGCCCTCAACAGGTAAGGGCTACCTGAGCTCTTTTTGGCTTTGCTTCTAGAAATTTCTTCTGCCTGTCCACTTCCCACTTTGGCCACCTGCTTCCAAGGGCCTTTCCTTTGGTAGGGTCCACACGAACTCTGACGGTTCCACTTTTTGGAAAAACAAAACAAATCACAGAAAAAAGCCTAGATGCTGGGGCAGGAAAGGACCTTGCTTGTAGTGAGACCACCAGACCTGACCCTGCTTCCTGCCCTGACCATCCACTACCCAGGCCCTAAGCAATCTCCTTAGAAACTGCATCTCTTTGGGAGCTGCCAGATCTCTTGATTTCCTTTTGCTTTTCATTGTTTTTAATTGACTTCTAAGACCCATGCCTGCTCGTTTGGCTCTTTATTGCTCCACTGCTAATGCTTGGTGAGGCTAGACTTCCAGTACCATCCTTAGCTTGGGGCTAGAGGGCCCCCTGTCCTAACCTTGTGTTTTGAAGGGCATTGCTCTGGTGCTTCTTGGCTGCTTACCTTCCCACAGGCTGAGGAGTCCAGGGGGCCATGGGAATATGGCTACCTAGACGCTATATCCTTATTTTTCTATACCACACTCTGGGTACCTGGACCTGAATTCTCTACCCAATCTGATCAGAACTCACCTAACAGGGCCCACACAAGCCTCTCTCCCAGCTCATCCTCCCAAGGGTGAACAGTGAGGATGTGAGCATTCCTGGACCCGACTCAAGGCTGCTGCTCATGTGGGGCATGAATGGCGTTCGGACGTGCAGGCTGGGGAGGTCCCCATGCATGTGAGGCCCCTTAGGGTTCAGGTCAGGGCCTGGGTGGGAAGGGGGCGAGGCCGGAGCTGGGGCGGCCTCTCCCCATGCTGCCAACTCTCAAGAGTTGCAGGTGTCCATAGCAGTACAGGCACTGGGGTTCACAGTCCACTGGTTAACTTGAAAGACAGCCATGATTGCCCTCTCTAGAACACTTCACAGCTTCATGTCATTGGAAAAGAAAGCAGTATGGTGACCAGTGAATGCTGTCTTCTTCCAGGCGGAGACAGCTGTCCTTTCTGCCTGCAGTTACTGCTTCCAGGGTTATTACTGGTGCTAATCGTAATAATCTTAATTCTGGCATTTTGGATACTACCAAAGTACAAAACAAGTAAGTTCTTTAGGAGATTTATCAGGTTTTCCATGGGTTTCGGATACAGACAGCAGGGAAGAGGGTAAAGAGGAAGGGAAAGGGGGATCGGAAATGGATGTGAAAAAAATGTAAAGAAGAAAAAGCTGCAAAAGGGGAAGGTAAATGAAATAGACTTGCTGTATGGTGCACATGTAAGATAGTTCCTGTTTCTCCAGTAAGAGCTTTTCTTACACAGATTGCTCATGGGTATTCGACCTGTGAGATCACACAGGGCCCCGTGTGCTAAGAGCCCCGCGCTCAGTTAAATGCTCTGCTGTCACTGTCTTGAAATTCTTGATACTTCTTTTTCTCTTTAAAATTACTTTTTAATTGTGGTAAAACATATATATATATGTGTGTGTGTGTATACACATATATATATAGAGAGAGAGAACAATAAAATGTACCATCTTAACCACTGTTAAGTACACAGTTGAGTAGCATTAAGTACATTCTCATTGGTATGTGACCATCACCACTATCTACCCAAAGAATTGTTCTCATCTTACAAAACTGAAACTCTGCCTCCATTAAACACTAACTCACTATTCATTTCCCCCTCCTCCCAGCCCCCTGGCTACCACCATTCTACTTTCTGTCTCTATGAATTTGACTACTTAGGACCTCATATAAATGGAATCATATTGTATTTATTCTTTTGCGACTAGCTTATTTCTCTTAGCATAATGTCCACAATCCATGTGTCAGAATTTCCTTCACTTTTAAATCTGGAGAATATTTCATTATAGAGATATAGCTATAGATATAGATATACACCTTCACTTTGTCTATCCATTCATCCATCAATGGACTCATGGGTTACTTCCACCTTTGGGCTATTGTGAATAGTGTGCGATGAACATCGGTATACAAATCTTAATAAGTTTTAACAAGAGGCCCCTCATTTTTACTTTGCACTGAGCCCTGCAAAATGATGTAGCAGATCCTGATTGCCGGTTCTGCAAAGGCAAGAGCTCTGTCTTGTATATTTCAGCATCCTCGCTGGGTCTGCCACTTGTAGGATGCTCAGTACGTGAAGACAAACGAGACTGTCCTTCCTCTCTTCCCCGCCTTAAGTGCTGCATCAAGCCCCAGTTACTGCTTTTCACTAGTCACATCTTATGGCCACCTCTAGTTAAGATTTCAAGATGGCCTTTTCATTTGGCACACAAGTATGGAAGAATATCAAAATGCACACAAAAGACAGTCTGTGTCTCAGCACTGGCACTCACCAGTGAGCCAAGGGGCATTGGGCAGGCTCCTTCACCTGCCTGAGTCTCAGCATTCTGACCTGTAGAATGGGGTCATGGGAGACACTGTCACAACTGGGCAGAGAACTAAGTGATAAATGTTAGGCTCTTGTCCCTCCCTCCATCTCTAGAGAGTTACAATTCAGAGAAGACAGGGGACTCAGCTGCCATGAAACCTGAAAATATATGTCAAAATTTATACCTCTCACACATTTTTTTCTTTTCTGCACACACCACCACATCTTTTTAAAACC